CGAGTCTAAGGTACGCAATTTACATTCTGAACAGTGAGTTAAGCTCTATTGATTATCTTTGAGAGATAACTGACTTGATTGTCGGAGTGCCCCCGGGTGGACGAACCACTACCGGAATCTCTTCTTTTTGTTATAGGTCATTCAAGTGTCATCTATTCTGCCAGTGCTCTCCAGCTGAATACTGAGTTGACAGTGTGGTCAGAAATTCACTCACACAGATAGTTTTCAAAAAAATTATATGTGCATTATTAATATTTTCAAATCATTCACTTAAAACATATATTTTTAATATTTAGTAAGAATATATCGAAACAAATATGAAATGATTAAATTCAGTTTCTTATACCAAAATCTCTTCATACAGATCTCCCTCTCCCCCAAACTTGAAGGGTCCTCTCATAACCAAAAATGAAAATATGAAAAACTGAAATTAAAATAAAACTATATTTGTGTGGACAAATTGACAAATATATCTTGAACTTGTGATCCATATAATTTTATATTTTTTCTTCTGATCTATTTAGTTTTTTTAAATGGGTAATAACTCATTTGTCCACTACATTGGAGTGTCATATTTGAAAAAGTACACTAAATTTTTTTTTTTTTTTTGGGTGGGTAAATCATAAATTAAAGACAAAGTTTACACGTTTACAAGGGGCATACCCCAAGTAATACAAAAAAAATCCGCATCTCCCCCAAAAAGGAGGGGGACAAATACAAATAACTGATTAAAAATAAAACCAAAGTAAATCTAAAATTGTCCATTTATCAATTTATCCCCAAGTATGTACTATCATCAAATAAATAATAGATGAATACTTGGGGAAGATAGATGGACAATTTATAAAAAAAGAAATTTAATAAACAACAAAACACGTCACAGCACTCCATTACTAAAAAAAATCAAATTGACAACTAAAATTAACCACGGCTGATCAACAAATGCGTAGGCCCCGCGGGATCCACAGTCCAACACGAATCCGGATCCTCGGCCGCCCTACCCGGCAGCCCTACCCGGCAGCCCCCCAAAACGACGTCGTTTTGGGGTTTTTTTTTGGTTTCTAGGTCTGGTTTACCGCTGTTGTTGCCACTCCGTTACATTGTAGCTCTTCGTTATGGTGCAATTCCATTTGAGTGGAGGTGTGGCGACGCGCCTCTAGTGCGAGTAAAGCCTTGGGTAGCCTACCCACGTTGCCTTTCTGTGTTGAAGTGATTTCCCGCCTAGAGTTGGGCTGTTGCTGCAGTAGGAGGGACCACGTGGGTGGAGTTGTAGCTAGCTGTTTTTTGTATGCAAACATCCTTGGTGGTATATGAAAACTGTGTGCTGGTTTTGTTTTTGGAAATTTCCCACGTGAGAGCAAACTATGGTGTTCCCACGGTGATTTGTTTGAGGCGGTGTTGGACTGAGTCCGGATTCTCGGCTGCCCTGAAAATTTACCCCCAAAACGACGTCGTTTTGGGGGCTGCCGGGTAGGGCAGCCGAGAATCCGGACTCAGTCCAACACCGCCTCAAACAAATCACCGTGGGAACACCATAGTTTGCTCTCACGTGGGAAATTTCCAAAAACAAAACCAGCACACAGTTTTCATATACCACCAAGGATGTTTGCATACAAAAAACAGCTAGCTACAACTCCACCCACGTGGTCCCTCCTACTGCAGCAACAGCCCAACTCTAGGCGGGAAATCACTTCAACACAGAAAGGCAACGTGGGTAGGCTACCCAAGGCTTTACTCGCACTAGAGGCGCGTCGCCACACCTCCACTCAAATGGAATTGCACCATAACGAAGAGCTACAATGTAACGGAGTGGCAACAACAGCGGTAAACCAGACCTAGAAACCACTGCCGGAAGCACAGCTCGAGCAGAAATCACCTATAATCACATGCCGGAGACGACCAGACCAGCGTACTCAGAGAACAGAACTTGTCACCATCTGCTCTGAAACTGGAATAATCATCACCGGAGACAACAAAACTAACCATGGGCTTAAAACCCAACACCTCCTGTGACCCAAGAGAATGTCACCGGAGAAGACATCCAGCCGGTACTACACCAAGATGCAGACCCACCGATTACACAGACAGGCTTTTCCAAAGAAAAAAAAAGAAACAAGAGAGCAAACCCATAGACCACGACCCCACCGGCAGCAAGCTTGCCATGGCAGAAGCCATCTTCGAAGCACGGACATGGAAGACCCAACACCTCCGGCGACCCAAACCGCGGACGACAAGTAGGGAACCAAATGGAGCTCAGCCTTGCTGAACTGTGAGCCATCCCACCGAGCCGAACCATTGACGACCACACTGGTGGTAACCCAACCCAGAACATGATGCAACAGCATGAACACCCACAGGTCACCTTAGCTTAACACCAAGCTCTGGGCAGCACTCCAAACCAGCCATAAGAATAGCCAGAGTGAGATTGACACGTTGGACTCCCATGAAACCGAAATAAACACGACTTGCTTTAATAAAAAAGACAAATCAAAGCACTACTTAATCAATAGAGCTGGCCTGAAATTCCGATCAGACTCCAAATCACTCTCTTACCAAACCAGACAGAGAATCTGACGAGGAACATCAAAGACACTCCATGGGTAACAACGGAGGGAGCTTTCTCTCTCTAGATTCTAGAGAGAGAAGCTCTCAACCTAATCCCCTTTCGAGTTTCAAGGAACTTTACTAAATTTTTTTTAGTATCACATCATAGCTACGTTCAATTATCACATTTGAAAAAACATGCAATAAGAAATTTTTAATTTTTTTTAGAGTGTCATATCATATCTACCATGTTGAAATGTCACATGTCATATTTGAAAAAAATACATTAAGAAATTTTTAATTTTTTTTAATGTCACATCATACCCGTTATGTTATCACATTTGGAGAAATAAAAAAAACACTAGAAAATTTTAAATTTTTTTGGAATAAAAATTTTAGAGTATCATATCATACCTACCACGCTGTCACATTTTAAAAAAAGTATATTAAGAAATTTTTAATTTTTTTATAGTGTCACATCATACCTATCGCATTAGAGTATCACATTAATACCTACCACATTAACAAAATGATATAATCGTCCACTAAAACATTAACAAAATAAAAAATAGAACAACACAGAAAGAAACTCTCTTTTAATAGAACTTAACAAATCAATAAAAAAAAATAAACGTGAAACTAATTAGAGCACTTGTTTGTTAGCTAAAATTTGTTAGTAAATATTCCAAAAACTTATAATTTGACAAAACAAAAAGTGAATCAACAAAATTTATTTGTAGGATCAATAAAAAATAAACCTATTTGGATAGAAAATATATTTTACTTTTAAAAGGTAAAAAATATTTTGGAACTAATGTCTTCCTAATGCCATCACTCACTACATGAAATCCATTTTTTAGCGGCACTTTAAAAACGCCGCAAAAAGCTTCAAAAACGCCATAATAGCTTATATCGACGTGTAATATTTTCGTCGCTGATAATGCCGCCGCAATAGTTATCCAACATTTGAAAAACGTCACTAAAAATATTAGATAAGAAACACCGCACAATCTTTGACAACCATCTAACCTTCCGTCTCAAATTAACATGTGACGTCACAATGTCGTCATTTAGTGATATTTTTTCAAAAAAACCACTTTTTTTTAATTTTTTTTATTTGTCCTACTCCTGCTGCAAGAAATTAATATGTGACGTCACAATGACGTCATTTAGTGGCGTTCTTAAACGCCACCTTTTTTTTGGGGGGGAGGGGAAGGGGGGTTCCTGCTGCTGATGTAAGAATATGAAATAAAATACTAATTTTGTTTTTCTCTGTGCTGCTGCTGGTGGAAACTGGATTCACAATTTGGGATCTCATGTTTTATGTTTGCTCTATGCAACCAAACTGCTAGATTTAAAACCAATCCTCAATACATGTCATATACATGCATAATGTAATCTCGCCAGAATCATCATTTCAAGTGAAAATTTCACATCTAGTGTCATAGGATACAATTCAAACAAATGAGACATCTAAGCAACTATGAGTCTGTAATACATTGTTTCCATGGGATGCAATTCAAACAAAGGATTCCATGTCCATGTTTAGTTTTAGAAACTTGAGAACCAACAAAAAATCAAATAACTTTCTGAAAAATCCATCTTGCTCAACGAGTTGTACATTCAGTAAAGAAAAAGCCTAGATGCACAGGATGCGTGATGACGCGTGATGACCAACAACAATTCATAAAATGCAAGAAAAAGAAGCGTGCTTTTTGATACACAATCTATTGTTGACAAACAAATGAATCAAAATCAGTCCTCACATTAATCTTATTCACATCCAAGTGACTGATAGCAAGGTAGGTTTTGATGCGCCACTGAGTCTTCTGGCTAAGATTCCTCACCACATTCATTGTAAATTTGTGGTTTGGAATGTGAATCGCTTCACGATCATCACCTCGTATGATTTTTGGGGACCACCAGCCCACATGTTGAAACAATTTAAAATACTAATCAGAATAAAGTCTGTCAATTTCTAACCTGGTATCATTTTACAAAAAATCACATCATTTTATTCATGCGAGCAACTGCAACTATAGGAATGAGATGCATAAATTTGCAGCTAACTTTTGTAGTTTCTTTTCTCTACATCTCCTTTTTCTGAGGTACAAGGAAAGACAAAAACCAATGAAATGATGATTCTGGTGAGATTACCTTCCCTTTGATTTTTAAATTAAAATTCCAGGACTATCAATTTTAAATCACTGAGAAAAAACAAAATCCATTTAATGTCCATGGACTTCCCACCTTCTAAATCTCTCCTTTTAATTTCCTGACCCTCACAAATTAACATTTTCTAATACATTTCTTAATAACATTAAGTACACAACAAAGACTTAAAATGTTTATGACCATGCACATCATAGAACTCAACTAACTAGACTGCACCTGAAGCCAATCAACAAATAAGTGAGAAGGAGAAAGCAATCCAACTAGAATGGTTTAGAATGAACCTGAGTTTGTCATATCTACTTCTTCTTTTCTTTCTTTGATATGTGAACCTGCATTTGATAAGAACAAATGACATAAATAAAATGTCATATTGAAAATTTCGTAATTAACTATTTACCCACTTCCTCGAACAAACGATGGCAATTAAATGATGAGATGTATGCATAGGATTGTTGTTGTGAATGCAAATGTGTAGCAGCTGGTGCAACAGGCCCACCCATGGCCTGTTGAGACTCCAATTGCTCTATTCGTGCTTGTTGAGTTTGGATTGTGCTTTGTATCTCCATTTTTAATTTCTGTTGATTAAGCATAGCATCCATCATCTCCTTCATTTGCATCTCTATTTGTGCTTTATATTGGTTAAGTTGCTCTTGGACTGCGTTTGGATGATACAAGTTTGTTCTTGTGATTGCCTATATCCGCCTCCAAAGACATCTGTCGGAGAAGGACCCAATCCATATGCTCGAACACAACCAGATCGCTCAGGCCCTAGAACCTGTGTGATAATCTCTTCATCTGTAACATTGGATTGCGCCCCAAGCTCCTTCATTTGTGTCTGCAATTGTTAATTAGTTAATTAGCCACCAATAAAATTTAGCCCACAAGCAAGACATAATAACGACCACTTAACTGCCATGACAACATCTAAGACTAAAACAGAGCAACACAGAAATGAAAACCATAACATCATTGCAAAAATACAAACAGCAGCAGCCACACGTCATTATCAAACAATCTATCACATGAGTAAGCAATCTCAACCCATGTTCTGCTTCTCCTCTGTCACAACAGGGAGTTTGGGGTTTTTATGAATTTTTATCTCAGTAGCATACACACAGCAGCATACACATAGCAATGATTATAACATTAACATTAATCCCCAGTTGTGAGTTAATTACAGCTACCCATAATGTGAAAATTATGTTGTCCCAGATCATAACCTTAGATTTGAACAGTTTCAATTTGAAACCAAGCTAAATACCATGACCTCAGCAACTTTATCAATACTTGGTTTGTTATCCTTCGAGTACCCAGCCATCCACACCTCTAAGCGAGTTGCAGGAACTCCATTCTTCTTATTTGTTTCCTACAATTACACTTAAAATTAACAAAATCAAAATACACAATTTCAATTTGAAATAAAAAGAAACTATATACCTCTACTCGAACAACTGAGAATGGTTTTCTACCGGTTATGTGATTTAATGTCTTCTTCTTCCGAATTTCTTTGTTTTTTGTACTTTTTTTCTATTACATATGAACACAAGCACAAGATAATTTATTAATTAACAAACTCATCTTATGAGATTACAATAATCAAAATACACAATTTCAATTTGAAATAAAAAGAAACTATATACCTCTACTCGAACAACTGAGAATGGTTTTCTGCCGGTTATGTGATTTAATGTCTTCTTCTTCCGAATTTCTTTGTTTTTTGTACTTTTTTTCTATTACATATGAACACAAGCACAAGATAATTTATTAATTAACAAACTAATCTTATGAGATTACAATAGAGTTCAATAAACAATTTAACACTAATCCCATGTAAAAGTACAATTTATTATTAAATGATACTTGTGCCTTCCGAATGCCCCAATAATAGACTAAGCTCCACCATTGATACTCATGTACTCTTTCGGGTCGATGAGTTCCCCATTTGTTTAACTCTAGCCTTCCACTCTCTCCATTTTTTTCCAACAGATGCCAAAACAAATTTCTTCATCGACTCATCAGCATTTATATTGACCTACAAATAATTGGCAACTTTGTGACTATTGCATACACACAGCAGCAACAGCATACACACAGCATAATATAAAGAACAGCATACACACAGCAGCATAGAATCCCTTTACCCTCTGTATTAACAAAGCAAATAAATGACACATTATAAAAGCAAAGGTTTCATTAACATGAATATCCATACTGAAAGCACAAATGTAACAATGAATATGACACAAAATTACAATATCATATCATTTCTTCATCATCTTCAGATTGTGTCTGTGTCGATATCCCAAGAGATCCAATAGTTTCATCAATAGTTGTTCCAACTTCACCTTGCCTAACCCAATTTATGTCCTCTTCACAAGCAAACGAAATTGCATCTAACTCTTGGTCGCCAAATCCTTCCACTTCATTGTGATGTACTCCATCATTAATTGGTTGTTCTCCACACACCTCATACAAGTCTCTAGGTTTCATCTTGACTATAACATCCCAATCAGCTTCAAGGGATCAATAAACTTAAAAATCTTTCAGTTTTCTTATCCAGGCCTAGTTCGATATTAGAACTTGTTGTCTCATTACAAGCAAGATGAACCAAGCTTGGTGGAGGAAGTCCAAACCCCTCATATCATTTCATTGACTTCATCGCCATCATTCGAATCACTGATATTCTCATTCAATAGCACAGACGCCGGGAAATCTTCCCCATGAAAAATCCATCTGGTGTAGCTTGGAAGAAATCCATTGACCATTAAATGTTCCCCCAAAAGATCTTTCTTTACTAATTTGACATTCCGACACCGTTTACATGGACATGTGACTTCATTTGATAGAGGATTATTTTGGCATGCAAGTTTAAGAAATTCCTAAACCCCTTCTATATATTCTGGATGCAACCTATGCTGATTTATCCAACTTTTATCCATCTGACTTCGTCTTACACTACAAATGTCACTGCCAAATCAACAAAGTTCAAAATTATCATTTCATTTTAATTTTTCTAAACCTCAATTAAGTACCTTATAATGCTTGCGACATGACACTATTCAACTCTAACTCTTCTCTAATAGGTTGGTTCATCCTACTTTCCCATTCAGGAATGCACAGTCTATATTGTAAAAAGTAGCTCATACGGTCATACCACTCTATCCATCTCTAACGAAATTTCCATCTCTAACGAAATTTCGGCAACATCTCCCCATGGTTCTCCAAGTACATGACATAGACTGGGTGTACTACTACACCTTGTCTAGTATGCACTCAGAGAACATGAGGAGCTACTACACGAAATCTCTACGAGATGGACTACATTTAAGCAATAGAACTACTAATTACAACATAGACTTGTACTCTTTAACTGTCCAAACTGGACAATCCAACATCAAAGATGACTAGGTATCTCTAATGAAGATTCTTGGACGGGTCTATGGCTATTTATGCATGCATGGATAATTCCTTGCTAAATTAACAACTGTCATATTTTTGCATCCTAGTGGTGCAATCTAAATCAGAACTATCAAGCATACTAGACGCATTTCTAGCATGAAGCATATTAATGAAGAAACTAAAAGTTTCTACAATTCTCTTGATAGATTATGATATAGAGCTTCATCAAAGATGACTAGGTGCGTACTAAAAAAATCAATCTATGTCCCTTAGTACAAATAAAAAAATCAACTCCATCACATATATCAAGAAAGAATCAATATGAAAAATGCCCAGGCTAGAGATGAAATATGCCTAATTGATACAAAACTCCTACAGTATTTGTTTTTACAAGGCAAGTAGTGAACTATACAGGCATATCACTATCAATTCGAAAACCTAAATATAAATCATGTCCTTGCAATCACCAATTAAACGGGATCTACTGAAGTGTTCTCTAGGGGGTGTATGGTAGTTTAATTAATGGTTAACAAATATTTGAAACCTAAATGTCATAGTGAACTTGTTGGGTTCCACCATATGTTTACATCACCTTAATGTCATAGTTACTGTTTACATCACCAAAACTTTATGCTTCTTGCATTATAAACCTAAAAATCCTTTTGCCTCGTCTTTAAAATACATAGAAAACCATTCCTAACAACCATATCCACCACGCTTTAACACATAAATATCAGCCCTATTATTGTTGTTCTACATTAAGTTTGGTATCGTAGCTACTAGGTGAATGTTGTTCTCTTTATGTAGCGGTAAAAACATCAACCTCCCACTGACACAACATTATAAATTTAAAATTGGAAATTTATTTAATGAAGAAGTCTAATGTAACTAGTGACAGTTGCAATGATCTGTTAAGCTAGTTATTAGCTTCTACAGATGGGGAATATTGCATTTAATATATTGCTAGAACAACATATAATGCACTCTTAATATCATTGCAAAGAGAACATTACATTTCTTCCCCTGGATAAGCCGCCTGGCTATTGCTATGCTAATTTGCATCTATTTATAAATTAGAACACAGTCATGTGCAGATATGAAAACATGCTCAGGAGGTTCACCTGAAGAAGAAGAAGAACACATACACACACATATATATATCCACCAAATCCAAAACAGTGAACTCAAAACAATGAGAACACATTACATTTCTTCCCTTGGATAAGCCACCTGGCTATTGCTATGCTAATTTGCATCTATTTATAAATTAGAACACAGTCATGTGCAGATATGAAAACATGCTCAGGCGGTCACCTGAAGAAGAAGAAGAAGAACACACACACACGCACATATATATATATATATATATATATCCACCAAATCCAAAACAATGAACTCAAAACAAAGAGAACACACACACACACACATATCAAATAGATTTGAAAAATCAGATATCTGAGTTCACACAAAACAAATGCATATATAATAAAAACTTACAAATCTGAGTTCTGCAACAAAAAGAAGTGGCCAATTGAGCGAGATCTGCAACAAAACAAAGCAACAACAAACTTACAGATCTTCAAAAAAAATAAAAAATAAATAAAAATAAATAAAGGCCCCTAAATGAGCTTCAAAATCTGGATTGACCAAAGGACCAAAATCGAAACTCACAAAATCAAAAGAGAGGAGAACCAAAATCGAAAGATAAGCGCAAATCTAGTGACCAAAATCTGCAACAAGTTTTGAAATCCACAGATTTGAAATCGATCGAGAGTGTTTGAAATCAAGCGAGAGTGTTTGAAATCGAGTGAGTTTGTCTGAGCAAGAGAGTGAGTTTGTTTGAGAGAGAGAGTTGAGTTTGTTTGATCGAATGGGTTTTTGAGTTTCAGAGCTTCAAATCGAGGGTTTTTGAGTTTTGGAAGAGAGAGAGTGAGCTGTGGAAGAGTGAGAGCAAGAGTGAGAGTGCGAGACGGTTTGAAAGGGACGGAGTTTTGAATGGTGTGAACTAATTGACCTAAAACGGTGTCGTGTAACTGCGATCCAGAGACAACATTTTTTGAAAACGTTGTCTATAATTAATCCATCATGGCGTTTTCCTAAATGCCACAAAAGAAGCGTTGCTATACCCCCTTTTTCTGGTAGTGACTATCACCGCCACCAACATCTCAACCACCACCCACCACTGCCTCAACTAGGTTGGTGCCACCATCACCATCCCACCACCACTACTGTCATCAACCACCACCACTAATACAGCATACATTAGTTTCAAGGAAACCCAAATGCAACAAAAAAATTCCCCAACAAATTGAACAATATAAGAGAACATTTCATAATGTGTGTGTGAGAGAGAGAGAGAGAGCACATAATGTTCAACATGTACATCAAACTTGAACAATATAAGAGAACCAATCACACAAGTACATGGACAAGGAATCACGACTGACAAAACAACCACCTCATACTTAGGTTTGAAACAATAAAAAAATAAAAAAAATAAAAATTAACAGTGTAAATATATATATAATCGACAATGCTTCTTATTGAACATTCATGATGATTCTTCCACCAAGGGCATGCCGAAAATGGTCTTTACAAAACATTTGAATCAACACTTGGTCGAAGCCGTCCTGCAAAATATCAGATCAACTGTTAACATAGTAATCGAAGATTTTAGACCATTATGCAAATGCTTAAAATGGAAGAAGTTCAACATGCCCAAGAAGGGGGGGATACACAAGGTTTCAGATGCACTGATTAAGCCTAAAGCAGAGCACTCTTGTCGCTTAATTACTTTCTCATACAAAATCCACAGAATCATCTATGAAAATCCAATATTTAAGATAATTAGGCAGTTGGCACAAGAAACGTGCACTTTTAGAAGAATGCAATCCCAGATTAAGAATCATATTCCAATCATGGTTGTTAGAATCTTACTATTCATGATTTGATTCGTATGCTCTACAAATTTCAAGCAAAACGATTCAATTCGTGCAATTGAATCTTTAATTGAGTGAATCTTACAATTCAATTGTGATTCACTACGACAAAGCGACTATTCTATGTGCATAATGTATGAAATGACATCGTTTTCGCAATACAAAAAGAGATCAAGTAATTATATTGATATATTTGATCTTATATGTTATATATAATTTAATTATATTGATATTGATTACATTTTAAACACAATTGTGTATTTTACATGTATATACATACATAAAATTATATATTTTGCTAAATAAACTAAATTTTACAATTCACTATTTCATGAAAACGATTATCGATACAATTCACAACTTAACAACAATGTCAATGATTCCAATTCATACCTCATCAAGGTCCTGGGCCGGTCATCCAACCTCTCGATACCTTCTTGCATAGTACCATCAATTATTAACCTATTGGCATTTCCCGACACTAAAGAATCCGCTATCTCCTTGAGACCCTGCAGAAAGAAAAGTACCGCCACATCAATTTTGGCTGAAGTGTTTACATGTGTTTACATTCTCCAGAATTGTGAAGCTAATGTAAAGCTAATGAAATATTATGTTTACAAAGATATAATCAAAAAGAGAATCAAGAGAAATGGCGAACTATTTATTGTCAAATAATTAGCTTGTCTGATGAAAATTGAGTAACAAACAATGTTTAAAGAGTAAGAAAGAAACCATTAGGCTTGGAGGTTCAGAAGAATTGAGATAACCACGGGGGCTTTCCAGAAAGCTTGAGTTGTTCTTGTAGGAAAAAAAAACAAAACAAAACAAAACAAAAAAAACCATGAAATATTATAAAGAGCATCTATTTAGAAACTGGCCAGATGGAGAACCAAATCTCAGTCATGAAGAAAATGTAAACACTGACACAAATTTTGAGGAAATTTATATGGAGATATGCCTAGTGGAAGACAGAGAACTTGGTCCACACCACAAAATAGACGTATGTTCTAGATTAATGATACAAAAATGATATTGCCATAGTTGTGGGTAACCTGATGTAAATTTGTTTAAAGACCACATAAAATTACATTAAAAGATAGCCACTATGCCCTCATGTCACTAAAAAGTATCCATTTTCACTTTTCTTCCATCAACAAAGTTGCACAGGTACAACACACCAAGATTTGCAAGGTCCTGTTGCCAAATTATGTAAGAACATCTTCAGGCATACAAAAAAGAATAGAACAAAAGATAAAAAATAAAAACAATTAATAATCAATGCAATGGAAAAAAACGAAAAAAAAAGGGAACCATAAGCATCGTTCGAGTTGTTTTCAAATACTTTATGATCTCTAGACCCAACTATCTGATAGTTGGCTAAGAAATCAAAGAATCCACCGGAAGGTTTTAAAGCCCTAAACAGAAACAGTGCTCTATATCTAGCACAGACTTTGTTGTTCCCCAACTCAATCAATACCAAGCACTCTTCTTTTCGAGGACCAAATTGCACCAATTTAATTTGCTGCCACACAAGCCTCGTTTGGGAACAGGTTAATTTAGTAACTTTTTAGTTATTTGGCTAAAAAGGTAGGTAAAAAAAACTTGTATGTTTGGGATGACTTTTTGGCTAATTACGAAAAGATGTGCAAAAAAAAGAAAACAGACATTAAATGTTATAAAGAGCATCTATTTAGAAATTGGCGAGAACCAAATCTCAGTAATGAAGAAAATGTAAACACCGACACAAATTTTGAGGAAATTTATATGGAGATATGCCCAGTGGAAGACAGAGAAATTGGTCCGCACCACAAAATAGATGTATGTTCAAGATTAATGATGCAAAAATGATATTGCCATAGTTGTGGGTAAATTGATGTAAATTTGTTTAAAGACTACATAAAATTACATTAAAAGATAGCCACTATGCCCTCCTGTCACTAAAAAGTATCCAAAATACAAATTTGTCGAGCTGCATGGAGTACCCACTTGGAAAAATTCTATGAAAAGTCAATTCCAACTAAGAGGTTGGTGTAAATTTAACTCTTTTTTTCCTGAAAATGTAAATATATATTCATAAAAAGACCCAAATGGCCACAACCTTTGTATAACAGAAATAAACCAAAGGAACCAAAATCAGTGTAAATTTAAAACTTGCATAAGCAATTGTGCAAACCTGAAGAACTTCTGGCATTTTCACTTTTCTTCCATCAACAAAGTTGCACAGGTACAACACACCAAGATTTGCAAGGTCCTGTTGCCAAATTATGTAAGAACATCCTTAGGCATACAAAAAAGAAAAGAACAAAAGATAAAAAATAAAAACAATTAATAATCAATGCAATGGAAAAAAAAAAGAAAAAAAAAGGGAACCATAAGCATCGTTCGAGTTGTTTTCAAATACTTTATGATCTCTAGACCCAACTATCTGATAGTTGGCTAAGAAATCAAAGAATCCACCGAAAGGTTTTAAAGCCCTAAACAGAAACAGTGCTCTATGTCTAGCACAGACTTTGTTGTTCCCCAACTCAATCAATACCAAGCACTCTTCTTTTTGAGGACCAAATTGCACCAATTTAATTTGCTGCCACTCAGTTCCTTATTTATTTTCTTCCACCTCTTTATTTGTTCTATTACCTTTACTAAAGACAATCAACTCATCCAAAAAGGAAACACACATCCACAAATAGATGTCCGCGCATGCGCAAGGAATAAAAATGATGGTCTCATATTTAGAACAATGAATTAACGTACAATAACAACATGAAATAATCGAAAGCATAATACTTGCCATATGCCATACTCCATCTACGAATTTTTTTCTTTATAGTTCTATTTTAATGCCAAATTACAGCATGTGCCAACCAACAATACCAATATATAATTTCCAATTCCTACATATTTAATTATATCAAGGGCTACGAAATATGGACACACACAAGGAATGTGGACACGATCATTGGGAGAGGGGATTTTAGATGCATTTATATTAAAAACAAAGTTGTTTCGCTATCATCACACCTTTTATGAATTATGGTTTGGGCCTATTTTGCATCATCTTTTAAACTATATTTTATTCTAAAAAGTAAAAAAAGAAAATGACACAGAAAACATGATTGACAAAATTGTTTCAATGAAAACATGGCAACAGTTGTGTTAAAGCTTCCCATTGTTTTACCTGTTTGTCTTCCAGTGAACATATCTTTCCATCCTACAAAAAAAAAAATTAAATACATAAATAAGCAAATGAATGAATCAACAAGAAAGGAGTTCATATAATTTTTTTTAAATAACACACAAGAAAACTTCCATGCCAAAATGTTTTACTGAAGCAATAAGACAACTTTGATACCAACTTCCAAACCAACGAAGCCGTTCAAAATTAGTATTCCATGTACTTTGCTTTAGTTGCTAAAAATTCATTCATTATGTCAAGCTCAGTCCTTCTAAACATGACAACGGTTGTTTCAATGAAAATTTTGAAAATTCAGAGTATTGCTTAGGTTTGCAATTCAAAGCAAACAACTCTTCCAATGGAGTCATCAAAGGGTTATTTAGTGTTCCCCTAGACCCCAACATAAAGCAGTGAACAGTTCTACAGCCCTGATGTCAAATGAAGCTACGAATCAAATTTCCTGTCAGAAAATCCAATCCACACCAGCTAGAAAGCAACTGTTCAATAAACATGGTTCACACTGTCGTAGTTAATTTCAGCCAATCATTCCACTCAGCAGAATCAATAAAAAATTTCAGCACTGTTTCTAGGATCTAATTTTGTGCTGCAATTCAACTATAAGACGAGTTTATGTAGTTGATGTTATCTGAGAAGACAACCTTCTTCAAACATATCGAAAAAGAAACTTGTAACAATCGAAGAATATGATCATTCTTGAAGATGACATAATTCGGCTAACATAATTTTCTCTAAGTTTCAATTGTATATTCAATGTAAAAACCTTAGCTTTTATGAATTCATTCCTTTCAATAAAAATGTCTTACCCCTCCTTTAGCCTTCTCTTAATCAAATATCTTTATATTTAATGCAATTGTTTGTGGATGTTAATAGAGATGGTATAAAACTCATCAAAAACCAGAAACCTTATCCTGCAACAGCTATACTAAAATAACATAAGGTTTGAAATTTAAAAAAAAATTGGGACAAAACTTACCAAGCCATAAACCATTCTCTGTAGTGCGTCCAAGTCAGAGCCAATTTGAGAAAGATCACCACGAACATCAGTCACCTGTTACACAAGTTGGAACTTCCTTTTATGCTATTACTGGATCATTTTTAAATAATAATCAGATTCATTGATTTGCCTCCTTATAATTCATCAAAGCTGACCCAAATTATTTCTCCCAGTCCCACTCAAAAAGTCAAAAGTCACATTTCAAATACTCTATTCTATGCTATGCAGTATATCCTAAGGGAAAATAACCCATTTCTGGATTGTACCTCATTCTTAATTAACTTTGATATTTCCACTTGCTCGTCAAGTTTTCCATCCAAGTTCTCAATTCGCTGTGTCAAGTGCCTCTTTGTTGCCTGATCCAATATATATATATATTAAATAACAATAAGGAAAAAACTGGATATGAACTCCATAAATATCTATGAAATATAAGGATGTAAAATAGAAAAAACATACTCAAAAAAAAAAAAAAAAAAAGATTGATGAGAAACTGAAACTTACAGCAAGAGCCTCGGACACACTCTCCAGATGTTTTGTCAAGTTTGAGACAGCATTTGCCATATTACGCTTTGTTACATACATAAGATCTGAGAAGGTAAGACCCTAAAAATGTAACAATTGAAAAATCAGTTTCTTGCAAAAAAAAATGCAAATTAATCACAGTATTGAAAAATAAAATCTGTTGACAATGTGGTCCCCCTTTTGACAATGGCAATTGCATTATAAAAAATAAAAAATTAAAAATTAAATTAAAAATAAGGGGGAAAAGAAAAATGCAAGTAAAGAAATATTAGCATATGAGGGAACACCCAAAGCTACAAGAATATAGATGCAATGATGGGAAACTCGAGTTTCGTTAACCAATTACCATACCTTCCACCACATGCATCCATAACACAATGCACCCACGGCAGCAGCTGGCACTATAAGAGAGGTCATGTTACCTGGACATAGACAGATAAAGGAGATGTAAAATCAACCAAAAATGCGCCTCATCAGAAAGCCAAAATGCACTGTGTCAATATCCACAGGGCAGATATACAAAACTTTGGTGACTTTGTAGATAATGAAATGAAAGAAAATATCATTATCTATCATATGAAAAAGACAAGCCAAAATAGAGTATTTTAACAAGATGTTCAAGTATTAGGAGGAGATATACCGATTTGGCCAGAGTTTCCATTCAACACAGTTATCTGTCTTGCTGAGGCTAGTTGCCGAACCTCCATCGCTAACCGACGCACCTTTATGATAATCATGCAAAAAAAGGAAGCCAAGAAAAATATATCTCAGTTACCACGAAAATATGTCACATTAGAGAAACATACCTAATATGCTTGAGATCTAATTCTGTCATGGCAACACTGGGAACATGATTTAAAATAGCAGTGACCTTTCAGTATTTTCCCCATTAAAATAAATTCTTGGTCCAAACAGTTAACACAGGATTTCATGTTTCTATATGTTAACTAGTGGGTCTGCCGCTTAATCCTACTCCAAAGCAGGTCTCTATTTGAATTCCAATACAAGGCACATGAGCCGAAGTCATGCCTCAATATAAGTTCAAGGTAAATTTTATTTTATCCAAGTAATGTTTTCATCAAGTACTATATTGAACAGATCTTAAAAGTCTTCTTTTTATGCAGTTTTCAATTATTGAAAGAGTTACAAATACAAAAATGTTCCCAGAAAATAGGCAACTTCATAAAATAACTTATTTGTAAAGAGTAATCGAAATTACTCCATCAAAAGTGTCCCGCCTCCTTACTTTTGCAACATATTCACCTTTGAACTTTTGTGAGAATGGAAAAGGGAGGGGAGGGGAGGTGGATGAGAGGGGTGGGCTGTATAATTTTTAATATACAGCCCGTAGTACTTTTAAATTTTCTCCATTTTTTCTCTAGATATATAATAAAATATAGTAGTTCTCGAAAGTGCAGTGAAACCATTAAAATCTATTATTGATGTTGAGAAAGCTAAAGTAGTTGTTTGTTCGAAAGAAAGATTCGGCATTGGAAAAATATATTTCAAATGTTAACCAACCACCAGAAAACAAAATGATTTGATATATATATACACACACAATCTTTTTACATATATATATAAATAAATAAATTGAAAAAACCAATGTAAATTTTACGGGAAAACAAACCAACCAAACCGGAACCTTAGTAAGACTTCTATTTTCCATGGATAAACTTACCTGAGAAGCGATGGCATCAGAAACGTCAGAGTCGGACTCTGATGATTCCCCATTTTTTTCCATACCTTTCACCAGGGACTGCCAATAAACCACAATTAAACTATGTCAACAGGATAACCCAATTCACTAAATCCTAGTAATAAATTCCATACAAAAATAAGATAACCAATAAATCAAATTCCCTCTAGCTTACAACCAAAAAAATTTTTTGTTTTTCAGAAAACTGGTTCTGAAAACAAAAACGAATTCAATCGTTAAAAAAAAAAAAAACACAAACCCAAATAGATATTTGCAGTAACAGTGATTTTGTCTAAAACCTGGGATACATTCTTTCTATTTTATGCGTTTTCTATCATATAGTTCTGTGTTATGTAGCAACAACGGTAATAATCAACTGCCTAAACAAGGTGATTTGAGCTAAATTTGAGCAATACAACAAAAGATCAAATTACCTGAATTTCGCCCAATATATCAGATAATTTACCATTCTTAACCAGGATCGTACTAGTGTACCCTGCAAAGTATAATCAGATCGATATCAAAAGGCAAGAGAGAGCTTAATACCGAAATCGATTAAGCGAGTTTTGTGTGTCTGTGTGTGTCTGTGTGTGTAGATAGATTACCTGCTCCAACCAAGATCAAGATCTTGGAGAGGCCCATGCCAGTTTGCATCGCCATCGCTGGTGATCTCACCCCAACCCAACGCTAGCTAGGTCTTCTTCTCTCTCCTCCGATGACACTACTGAATTCTCAAAGAGTGTGTTTGTTTTGATGTGAGGGATTATTTCATGGGATTAATAGTCCATTTTTTTTTTTTTCAACTATAATAGTCCATTGGTTCAAATTTTTTTTTGCTCTAAATTAATAGTCCCTCCGTAGTAGGGATGGGCGCGGATCGGTTGCAACCACGAAAATCAGAGAAAATCAATCCGCATCCGTCCGTCAATCAAACAGATGCAGATTGGCGGATGGATAGGAATCAGTTTCACGGTTCAAAAGTTTACAAATTTTCAACTTAAAATTGTACACTTTCTCAAAAACACAACCTGAACATAATTCAATTGTGCTTTGCACTTCCTAAAATACTGCCAAAACATAGGTAAGCAAAAGATAGTGCAAGTGCACAATTCATATATTTGATATACTGTCAATCTGCCAGACCAAAAACAAATAATTCAATTCACATTGGTTTTAATTCATATATTTTTAATTCACATTCAATTCAAAAACAAATAATTCAATTCACATTGATATACTGCCAGACCAAAAACAAATAATTCAATTCAATTCATATTTAGTTTCTAAACCAATGAAGAGTCTGGAGACAACAACAGAATTTCAATGTCACACAATTTCAACATGTGATGAACGGAGAAACAGAAAAGGTTGCCCATGAAGGCAACCTTAACCATGGAGTGTAGGTCATAAATTTAACACAGTCAAATACTCAGAAAACTCAGAAACATGATTAAAAAGAGTATTTGATCAGCAACCTAAACCACAAATTACACGTATATACATACATCAAACCTGAAAAACTGTATATATACACATCAAACCACAAATTACATGTAGGTCATATATATTTTTTATCAACTCAATCGAAGGGGGGAAAAAAACTAGTCTTAAAACCGGACAAACACACACACACACACACACACATATATATATATATACATCAAACCCTCTCACGCTACAAAGAGACGAAGATTCTCAAAAGACCAACTCAATATACGATCTCAGAGGCCGATTACTCTCAGAGGCCGAAATTACTCAGAGGCCGATTACTCAATAGACGAAGATTCTCATACCATCAACTCAATATACATACAGAGAGAGGTATCTGTAAATCTTCTATCTAGAGAGAGAGAGAAAGAGAGAGAGATACCTCAGTGTAGATCGATCGCCGTTCAGAAGTGTAGATCGTCGGTCGTTCAGTGCAGATCGTCGGCCAGAGGTTACCGTCGGACGATAGGTATGGTAGAGTGTCTCAGCGTGTGTTGTGTGTTGTGTTTGTTTTGTTGGGTCTGCGAAGAAATTAGGGCACACTCTGGTGGTGTTCGGGAACTTGGGTTTGGGTTTGGGTTTGGGTTTGGGATTTTTTTTTTTATTTTTTTCGTTAAAAGATAAATTTTTTATAAAATTTAAAAAAACACATTTAAATAAAATATCATATCTAATTCTATAATTATTTTATTTTTTTCTCACAAATATCATATCTAATCATAAAAAAAATTTATCTAATAATATTCTACAACTAAAAAAAATTACATAAAAACTCACTTCCCAAACACTCACAAGAAAAGGGGCTGAGGCGTGTAATAAAATTGAAAAAATAAAAAATAAAAAATAAAATAGTCATGGGCGGGTCGGGCTTGCTGGGTAAAATGGCGAATCACCCACCACCCGACCCAAATCCGAGAAACTTGAAAAACTGGGCATGTGCCCATCCGCCACATGTCATGCATCCGTTTAGGGGGCGCGGGTCGGGCCGGGTCGGGCAGTTCTAGCAAGCCGATGGATTTGCTGCACAGCCTTACTCTGGACTATTAGTCCCTCATATGAGGGATTATTATATCCTGGAGAGGTGGGATTATTTCTATGAGATTGGTATCCCATTACTATTAGTCTCTCATATGAGGGATTATTGTATCTTGGGGGAGGTGATATTATTTCAATGGGATTGATATTACATGGGACTAATGTGTAAAATGTTCATTTTAACCCCCATGTTATTACTTAATAAACAATTGAAAAATGGTAAAATAATCTTTTGAACATTTATAAATTATTTTTTTAGCGTTGTTAATTTAAAATTATATATTAAATAATAATTATAAATTTAATTTAATTTAATTAAAAATAATAAATTAAAAATTATGGCCTTATAATTTTTTTAATGTTGTTAAAAAATTAAATTTATATATTAAATAAAATTATTTTTTTACTGTTGTTAATTTAAAATTATATATTAAATAAAAAATATAAATTGTAAATTTAATTTAATTGAAAATAATAAATTAAAAATTATGACCTTATAAATTAAAAAATTTTAGTGTTGTTAAATTATAAATTATAAATTATAGATTATAAATTTAAAATTATATATTAAATAAAAATGATAAATTACAAGGGTAAAATAGTCTTTTGAACATTTATCCTTATCCAATCCGTCCAACTAAACATTGGATTCACTAAAAATAGCTCAATCCAGACATCTAATCACATGACTAAACAAACATAGGACACAAATCCAATCTAACCAAATAATCCGGGGACAATGTATTCACAAACATAGGACACAAATCCAATCTAACCAAATAATCCGAAGACAATGTATTCCAGGACTAACAGTCCGATGGATTACAATCCTCTATTATCCAGTCTGTCCAAACAAACACACCCAAAGAGATTTTTATTCACTTCATACCCTACTTGGAACGTCGTCGTACTTTAGCAAAATGGTGGTGATAGTGATTTGCTTGAATACTGGTTCCAGACAAGCCTACATCATCGTATTATTATTATTATTATTATTATTATTGGGTACAGCAGAAATAACTGGGTTTAATTTTGATATTTGTAATTACACAATATGAGTCAAAGGAATTTTATATTACACAAAATTTAACTCATTATATTTATGGATGACAATTTTTTCCTGTAGAGTTTTTCACGCTCTCCATAAAGAAGAAGTTTGGCTTGGACAAATTTTGCTCACATACTCTCATTTTTATTATATTTATTAATTATATTTATATATAAGATGACTTTTCTCTAGTTCAATCGTTATTTAGACACATAGAGTCTATCATAAATCTTACTTCGATCATTCAATCGTTCATTCTTTAAATTACTTTATGCATATCATCTATAAAAAATAAAAATAAAAATGTCAATATGATACACATAACTACATAATTTTATTACATTTACTTTCAAAAATATATACTATTTATTGTCAAAATCATTCATATCCTTGAATTTTTTCTAAGAAAAATACAATATAATTATATAATTATAGATAGAGACTAGGGCAAGGGTGACTTGGGCGTTGCCATTACACTCACTCTTTAGTTAAAACATTCTATAATTCTAATTTTTGATCTTTATTTCATTAAACTTTTCATAATTCCAAAAAAAACTCTAATTCTATATCTATCCCAACCACCAATTTTAACTACTACAACCGCCACCTCCAACTATTGCTCCTAGTCCTTCCCCACTAGAGCAACCTTCCCTTTGTGCACACAATAGAAAGAAAGGAGTGAGATTTAGGGTTTTCAAAAGAATAAGAAAGTGAATGGGGCAACATGTAGGAAATGGGAGGAAGAAGAGTGATAGGATGGACAAGGCAATTATGAGTAACAGAGAAAGGTGTCAGTGGAATAAGAGATGGTGGGTGACGGCAACATGTTTAGTAGGGGTGGTGGCAGCAGCAGATGATAGGTGTTGAGGAGGGGTTGGGTAGGTAGAGAGATTAGGGATTTGAAATTTTAAGATTTTGAAGATTAAAAGATAATTTATGTCGACACAAAATTGTAAAAAATTAAAAATGAGTGATGTAAAAACAAGAAAAGAAAAACATACTATATAGCAATACACTTCCGCGACTAATATGTCTCCTTTAAAGATACTATACCGCAATGCATTTCAAGTGAAAAAATATCTCTCAATTCAATCTGACAAGAGAATTTCTAAGATTATACCCGTCAGTTCATTTCAAATAATACATCTTTCAATTGATCCCAACAGTACCATCTTGTCTTCCGTTGCGAAATTTCTTAGACAATAAGAAAGCAAGCACTTGGTGTCGGTGATGACTAGGTTTCAGAGTCACTGTTCAACAGATAGTTTTCTAATAGGGCATGTCCTCGTATTGTGCCCTTTTACTAGGCATAGCCGGCAAGTGTATGTCCGACTTTTACGGGCATCATATGATTTTCCTTGAGTGGCTCATGGGCATGTCCTGCAATTATGCCCACTCTAACCACATATCCTACAACAATGATGCCTTGGAACCTTGGCTTGTGATTGAGTTGGCTTTGTCTTAGGACAGGTTCTTTTATTATGCCCTTTTTCCCCACATAACCGGCACTTGAACCTTCTGTCTGTCAAGCTATCTTGAAGTTCTGGGCAGTAGTACCTTCTATGCCCTTCCCGTCCACAGTTCCTGCAGTAAAATTTCACTTCTGCATAAATTTAATGGCTATCAAGTTTGATCAAAGGGCTAGAAAATCATGGGGAACAACTATGTTGTTCTAACTTGTACAGGTCTGCCGCTTAATCCTACTCCAAAGCAGGTCTCTATTTGAATTCCAATGCAAGGCCCATGAGCTGAAGTCATGCCTTAATAAAAGTTCAGGGTAAATTTTATTTTATCCAACTAATGTTTTCATCAAGTACTATATTGAACAGACCTTAAAAGTCTTCTTTTTATGTAGTTTTCAATTGTTGAAAGAATTATAAATGCAAAAATGTTCCCAGAAAATAGACAACTTATAAAATAACTTATTTGTAAAGAGTACTCGAAATTACTCCATCAAAAGTGTCCCGCCTCCTTACTTTTGCAACATATTCACTTTTGAACTTTTGTGAGAATGGAAGAGGGAGGGGAGGGAAGGTGGAAGAGAGAGGGGTGGACTGTATAACTTTTAATATACAGCCCGTAGTACTTTTAAATTTTCTCCATTTTTTCTATAGATATATAATAAAATATAGTAGTCATCGAAAGTGCAGTGAAACCATTTAAATCTATTATTGATGTTGAGAAAGCTAAAGTAGCTGTTTGTTAGAAAGAAAGATTCAGCACTGGAAAAATATATTTCAAATGTTAACCAATCACCAGAAAACAAAATGATTTGATATATATATACACACACAATCCTTTTACATATATATAAATAAATAAATTGAAAACACCGATGTAAATTTTACGGGAAAACAAACCAAACGAAACGGAACCTTAGTAAGGCTTCTATTTTCCATGGATAAACATACCTGAGAAGCGATGGCATCAGAAACGTCATAGTCGGACTATGATGATTCCCCATTTTTTTTCACACCTTTAACTAGGGACTGCCAATAAAACACAATTAAACTGTGTCCACAGGATAACCCAATTCACCAAATTCACTAAATCCTAGTAATAAATTCCACACAAAAATAAGATAACCAACAAATCAAATTCCCCCTAGCTTACAACCAAACAAATTTTGTGTTTTTCAAAAAACTGGTTCTAAAAACAAAACGAATTCAATCATTAAAACAAAACAAAAAAACACAAACCGAGATAGATATTCGCAGTAACAGTGGTTGACAAGGTGATTTGAACTAAATATGAGCAATACAACAAAAGATCAAATTACCTGAATTTCGCCCAATATATCAGATAATTTATCGTTCTTAACCAGGATGGTACTGGTGTACCCTGCAAAGTATAATCAGATCGATATCAAAAGGCAAGAAAGCTTAATACCGAAATCGATTAAGAGAGTTTTGCGTGTATGTGTGTTTGTCTGTGTGTGTAGATAGATTACCTGCTCCGACCAAGATCAAGATCTTAGAGAGGCCTATGCCAGTTTGCATCGCCACCGCTGGTGATCTCACCCCATCCCAACCCAAGCTAGGTCTTCTTCTCTCTCCTCCGACGACACTACTGAATTCTCAAAGGGATTTTTATTCACTTTATACCCTACTTGGAACGGCGTTGTACTTTAGCAGAATGGCGGTGGTAGCGATTTGCTTGAATACTGGTTCCAGAAGGGCCCACATCATCGTATTATTATTATTATTATTATTTTTTTGGGTACAACAGAAATAACTAGGTTTAATTTCGATATTTCTAATTACACAATATGAGTCAAAAGGAACTTTATATTACACAAAATTTAACTCATTACATTTATGGATGACAATTTTTTCCTGTAGAGTTTTTCCTGCTATCAATAAAGAAGAAGTTTGGCTTGGACAAATTTTGCTCACAAGCTCTCATTTTTATTATATTTATTAAGTATATTTATATTAAAAAATGACTTTTCTCTAGTTCAAGCATTATTTAGACATGTAGAGTCTATC